CTCTTCAGTCGATCCCAGGCGAGGCGCAGGGAATTCACACTGGACCCCTGGAACGTCCTCCTGCCCCAGAGAGAAAGCACATGCTTAAAGGAACCTGGACGAACATGGGGAACGAATTCAGGACCCAACCTGAAAGGGCTGGGTAAATTTAACGCAATGAATTCGTGTAAAAGAAAAGGCGTGGAGGTGCACACCTGTAATCCCAGCTACTCAGGAGGCTGAAGCAGGAGGATCCCAAGTTTGAGGCCAGCCTTGGCAACTTGAAGAGGCCCTAAGCCATGTAGTAAGACCTTGTCTTAAAAAAAAATAAATAAAAGGGTTGGGGATATAGCTCATTGGTAAAGTGCCACTAGGTTCAACCCCTAGTTGAAAAAAAAAAAATTGACAGTGATGGATTGCAACATCTTGTTTAAAAAAAATGGCTTTTCCAAATAAGGAAAAACAAATTCTTTTAAAAATTACCCGCTAATAAAGGCAAAATGGGTAGAAGAATGAGAAACATCACTGTGTGGCCAAAGCTCTTGTGGTTCAGGAGTCGGCTGGCGGGTTAGGCACTTCTGGAGTCATGGGCCACCTGGTCTCTGTTAAAACGCCCCAACTGCCACTGAGGCGTGATGGCGGCCCTGGACTAGCCCTCAGTGGACAGACAGACGTGGTGAGGTTCAGCCCGAGGTGGTAACGGCAAGAGGGCGCCATCCCATAGATCCGCCCGCCTTTATCGAGAGATCAATAAAAACTCCCGAGTGACCCAAGAGGAATCGCCATCCACCTGTGGTCCACCTCAGGACGGATGCAAAAATTAGCACACCAGGGTCGAGAGCTAGAGGTCTTCTCTAGAGCCTAGAGGACCAAGATGACAAACACAGCTCATGATCCAAGAACCCGGATCCAACTGGGGACAATGTACATTTGGCTGCTGGTTCAACTCAACGATAAATAAGTGAGCAGCAACTCAATCAGCTGGATTGATCTTCCTGCGATGTACACATGGAGGGTCACCCACACACCAGGAGCATGCAAGACCACACGGCAAGGGGTGCTTTCCGGCAGCCCTCAGTCTGCTGTCAACCAACCACATGGGCTCAGATGTCCTGCCCAGTATGCAAGTCAGCAAGAGAAAACTCAAGAGGGAGAGGACAGAAAAAGGCCTCTGTTGAGTTCGACGTTACCCACCACTCTTGAAAGTGAGTCACACAGGGCTTTATTAAGGTCTTGGTGCCCGACTCCCAAAGTCCCATTCCCTCCTCTCATAACAGACGTGCACATCCAGAGTCAAAGTCAAGCCCAGGGATGCCATGAAGGCGACTAGCAGGCATGTTCAGCCAGAGTCTCAAGACAATTGGGATTCATCTCACGTCATTACTGACTGCACCCCTTGCAACTCTGGGGAAGGCCACAGGCTCACTCTGAGATGCACTCACCCACTGCCAAGAGGGATAACACCTGTCCTGCAGGGACGCTCACAGAGCAGGAGGAAGGCATTTGCAAACATTTGGTCCAATAGTGGCTCCCACCAGGAGGCTCCTTCCCTTCTGCAGTGGCGGGGCCTGAACATCAGGGCTTCCACCATGCTGGAGTAGGGACTGTCAGTAAGCAGCAGCTTCCCCGCTCATGAAATCCTCGAGACTCAGGGCCCTTCTAAGCAACAACTATTTGTTAAGGAAAAACCCCATCACAGTTCCAGCACAGTCTGACACAGCCTCAACCGGCCAACAGGTATCAGGTTTCCACCACCCAGGGCAATCTCCAACAGCATCCCGGTTCTTCCTGCAGATTCCCTTTCCTTTTCTGCCTTACCAAGAGCCGAGGACAGACAGAACGCACCCTGGTACAGCCCTCTGGCATCTAAGCAAAGCATCTACAAGCTCTTGATGACAGCAAGTGTACACGTCAAACCGGACACAGCCATCAGTTGTAACCCGTCTCCTGCAACCCTGAGTCGCCCGCTCCGACAGAAGAGGTTCCTCCTGGGTTAGTAGGCCGAATCTACACGGTCCCAAGTCTCCCCTCCTACAGTCCTGCTCTTGGAGCCTGCACTGCTACAGAAATGACTTCTAGGAGCACTTTGAAGACAAATGACCCCACATCGGGCCAGGAGGGGGACGTGTCAGACAGCATACGGTGGCACAACTGCCCAAGGGTGGGAAGAGAAACCCGGGCAGAGATGGTGAGCACCAGACACCGGTCCAAGGAAAATGCTCGTTTGGAATTCTGATCAAGTGACCCACCAACTTTCATCCTGAACCAAATAAAACCGCAATTTCCCAAAATTCAACAGGATGAACATTCACACACGGTGACCAGGAACAAGTCGGGACCACCAGTGTAACAACAATGACCAAACCAGGCTGGCGGGGACCTTAAACTACCAGTTCATGCACTGAAACATGAGGATCCTCAATAAAACATCAGAGTCTGTTATTCAGGCTGGCCTCAAACTCGCAATCCTCCTGTCTCAGCCTCCCGAGTAGCTGGGACTCCAGGGGTGCACCATTGCCACCGGCTCAGGTTTTTAGTTTTCAGAAAAGGAAGGAAAGTATAGGGAAGTATCAGACAATGAATCCATAAATATCATTTTCCCAGCCCGTGATGCTTGTGTCAGCTGTCAACTTCTTAAAGTTATGATTCTCACTATACTCTTTAATGGATTTTAAATAAAAATGAGCACATTCACCCAACAGGAGGACCCAACCCATGAGTTGTCACCCAGGAGAAGCGCTTCACCTCCATCTGAATCTGCTCCCGTGTCTTACGGCTTTCTCTTTGGTCCACACCTGTCAAATTCACTCCATCCACCCAGCAAGGCAGCCGCTGAGTCCCTTCCCTGGGGGCACAGAACTGAAGGGGCCCAAGCTAGTCCTGGCAGCAAGAACCCAAGGTCCCCACTCCCCACCTAAGCCTCTCAACATGTATCGAATTACAAACCCCCGCCAGCACATCGTGTGACCATTTGTTTCTGCAGTATTGAATTAGTGGAGTTAATTATAATTAGATTCCAAACAGCATTTGTACTTTTGTTTTGGTGGGTTCTGTTTCTGTCTCGTTTGATCCTCAGACTCCTCCTTTCCCCTGGTGACCGAAATTCTCCCTTTAGTTGTTTATTACTTAACACGCCTCGGACAGAAAGTACATTCTGCTTTTATTTTCCAATTAGAAACGAGACACAGAGTTAGAAACCAGAGAGAAATTAACGCTGCGTTCTTACTTCATGACACGGACAGAAAATGCATTTCACACCCTTTGAAAGACAATGAGAGGGGGATTCATAAACAATGCAGGATGTTGGAACAACTCACACCAAGATTCCCTGCTAAATTAGAGGGTTTTCCAAAGAACACCCAAAGCATTAGGGAGTACATAAGAATCTTATTTAAAAATATGGGAAAATATCCCGACTAAACCACTGAATTCAGACTTGTCTGTGATAAAAGACTTAGGCCTTTTGTCAAGTGTGAACAGAAAACATTTTGCTATCCCCAAACTGGCACACATTTGAGGGGAAGATGAGCTACCGCTGGGGTGTGCGTCTCTTCCTCAGCCGCTCCAGCCTTCTGCAAAGAAGCCTGAAGTTTCCCGTTTGACTTCCCCTTGTAAAATGGCTAACTTTACACACAGGAAAGAAAGCACGGGGGAGGGGGCCAGTCCATCTCCAACCAAGGAGCCCCTGTGGGAGGGGGGCGCTTCTAGGACAGTTTCTCCTGGGCTCACCTGCAGCCATGTTGGCCTTTCCAGGACAAAAAGCAAAGTCCAACACAGTCGAAGTCCTGGGAAAGCCCAGGCTGCCTGTCTGGCTCTGACTGTAACAACCTGGGCTCCTGCACACCTCCTTCCATGCAGCTAGCATACAGTTTCTGTGAACTTGCACACCACCACTGCTGCTTTGTCTTGGTAGCCCACCCAGTACACTAGACCTTTAGGACATGAATCCTGGCTGGCCAACAGTAAGTGCTCAGTAAGTGTTACCAATGGGAATGAGGTACTGAAGATTAGTTACTGTTACCGCCAGCGAGGGGGAGCAAAGTTCCCCTGACCTCATCTTAAACCATCTTCCTTATTGTGACAAACTCTTCCTACGCTGTAACTAACTACCACCCGTTGTGCACACAGGTCATTCTGTGTACGTTCTGGGTATCATCTAGATATTCTGCTTCATCTGCCACTAAGGACGTCTTCTAAGGCCCTCTCCAGAGCCAGATGTCCTCTGGCATATTTCTGAGCCCTCGGGGTCATTCTGCCTCCAAGCCTCAGCCTATGGTCTACGAAGACAGTGTGCAATTGATGAGGCATGACTTTCCTGGGATTGGACACGTTGGGTGGGAAGATTCAATAACCTGGTCTTTCCCTGTTCAACTGACGGCGATCTGAGCCAACTTTTAGAAAATAAGTAGAACTTGGCAGGGAGGAGAAAAGGTGACTAGGGACCATCACAGAATACCCCAAACTTACAATGGACACCAATCTTTCCAAGTTAGTATGCCAAGCACCAAGATCTCCAACTAGGCCATCTCAGAAGAGCCCACTTAACAACTATACCAAGTGGACATCGTCAACTCCATTCTGATTCCAAAACCAGGGCAGAAAGAAGGGAGCCTGCCCAGCTGCCACACCTATTCCAGGTGGAGGCGCAATCCACCCCAACCTTCGTCACTCCCAAACCAATGCCATGTCTGGCCTGCCCACGACCTTCGTGGAACCATGACATTGACATGAAGGTCACAAGAAAGTCTCTACACATAACCAATCAGATAATGTACCCAGATGTTCCTTGTCACCCCAGTGCATAGTCTACCACATTCCTCATCTCCGCCACCAGAGATTCGCACAGGAGGCAGAAATCCAAATTGTCGTCCTTCTCTGTCCCCCTAGCTCTCCACCTCCATCTGCCACTCCTCAGCCCTCTCTTTGCCGAGTACCACGATCTCAGCAGCTTCGCTGGCGGGGACCAGTCCTCCATCTGTTCCTCATCCCCTGCCCAGGGCTGGGGCAGCCGGCCAGCTTACCCCAGAAGGTGCTGTGGCCTTTGGCCACACGTCACGGCACCTCTCCCCAGCTGCCTTCACCTACCAAGGGCCAGACACCGCCTCTGGAGCACGTCAGACGGATACGCTGGGGCTCTGGACACGAGACACCCTGCAAACAATGAAAAATAAGATCACCCAGGAAGCTGAGATGGCTGGCACCTCCTGTGCCCTCCCAGGACAGCAGCTTCCAGGAGGAAGCACGAGAGGGGCCAGGCGGCTCGCAAAGAGGCCACCAGAGGAGAGGTAGGTCGAGTACCTTCCCTCCAGCCTTTGCAAAAGGAGGCCGGCTGGGTGGGCAGCCTTGATGTCCAAGGACGATCACAGGCATCCAACAAGCACAGGGGCATAAGAGAGTCCCCATAACCCAGTCCACCTTTGGTAAAGTGGCATCCAGAGTCAGCACTAGGAGGGTCAGGGTTACTCTCTGGACACTGCCAGAAGGGGTCATGTGTCAGCACAGGCCAGTGACCCCAGGCAAATGTGACCAGTGGTTCTTTAAGTTAGCCACAAACCAGGCCGAAATCATTACAGGGGGAAAAGAAGAGGGCTGGGGTCCTGGCTCAGCGGTAGAGCGCTCATCTAGCACATGCGAGGCCCTGGGTTCCATCCTCAGCACCACATAAAAATAAAGGCATTGTGTGTATCCAACTACACCCAAAAAATATTATTTTAAGAGGTGGAGGAGGGGAAGACCTGGGCCTCTGGGCAGGGTGGAGGTGGCGGAGACCCAAGCAGATGCCGTTTCATTTCCAGGCCCCAGAATGGCCCTTTAAAAATTCTTAGCTGAACCTCTAGGCAGAGGCACTGCTGGAGCCACACCCGAGATGGGACGCAGTGGCCAAAATCCTGGTCTTAGAAGCGCCCACCCGCTCCAGAAGGCCCTCCTTGGATCAACTGGCTCCAGGAGCCTTCGCCTCCAAAATCCTTCGGAGCCCCACCCGGCCACTGGCCTCTCCTTCGAGGGTCTCTGTCAGACCACCGTGGTTCACACCCAGGCCCCTGCTCCGGCCCGCGGAGCTCAGGACTGTTGGCGGTCCTGGCCGTCATGGACCAGCTCAGCAGGCTCTGTGAACTGGCCCTCGTCACGAGGGATTGCCCCCCCCCACACATCCACAGCAGCAGCATCCGCTCCTAACAGCCAAGAGGTGTCCACAGAGTCGGGAACCGGGGGAAAGCTGGACAGGTGAACAAAACGTGCTCTCTATCAACACAGTACGACGTAAAGGGCCCTGGACAAATGCCGTCAGATCCCACTTGGATGAGATCTCCAGGAGAGTCTAGATCAAGAGATGGAAAGGAGAATGGCAGAGGTCAGGCGCTGGAGACTGGAACAGAGTCATGCTTCATGGAGCCCTTTGATAGGGATTGCCGAGAGGGATGGTGGCAGTGGATACTAGGTTACGAACTTACTTTACACCCAACAGCACTGGTGGAGCCGAGCCCAACACGCACCAAGCCCCAGGCAAGGGACGAGGAAATTGTCAAGATGGCAAATTAAACGGTAGGCATATTTGGCCACAGCATAACAAAAACAATAGCCTACCTGTAATAGCTAATTCTTCCATATGCCCAAACAAGAATTCCAAGGCACTGTCACCCCTAACATGCAGACTCTTTAAGACTGCAGTTGTCTCAAAGGTAAGGACCGAGACCCTTAGGCTCCCCACAGCATCCCCTAAGCGCCCCCACCCACCCTGTGCTTTGCTCAAAATAAGTACTCAGGAAAGCGGTACCAGGGCACCAAGTTGCAAACGACTGCCGATGATTACAGAGACTGGCCTTCAGTAACTGCTTCAAGACTGAAAAAGAAAGATCAGTAACGTACAGCCTCAAAACCCTTCTAAGAACAGGCAAATACGAGGAACTCTTTGGTCAAGAGACTTTCTACCTGCAGGTCTTGTCCTGCCACCAGAAGAGAAATTAAAGCCTCTGCCTTGATCCAGAAGAGGAAGACGTCATCTCGGTTCGCGAACATTCAATTAGCAGGCTTTGACCTCGGCAATTTCCCTCCAGCAGGCCTGGTCCCTTTCTGGTGAGGGTTGGACGCAGGCATGACGATGGCCTGCGGCAGCCCATTTCAAGGGTTTCCTGGGTCTCCGTCTTATTAGAATTAGCTCTGCTTCGATTTTATGGCTAAGGAGGCTGAACGCTCCCGGGCAATTATCACCTGTGTGCACAGAGCTCATTTTACACCAACACTGCATAATAAAAGGGCCCCATTCCGATGCTCGGCCAAACAAGAATTCTCCGACACACTTAAATTCGCTGGTTTATGGGATAGCCCTATAATGATTACTGAAATACAGTAGTTCTTAGGTACTTAAAACAAAGGATTTGTACTTCCATTACCACAGAATAGAAGACCACCTGTTACTGCTCGCTTCAAGAGGTCACAGTATATTAAAAAACAATAACTATGTCATCTTGGGAGGATCCACCTGCTAAAGCTAATGTGAGCCAGTCTGGGCTGAGCAATTTCCAATCTTTCTAATATAGAGTGAATCATTAGGAAATGCCAGGGGAACGTAGCACATGCTCTTAACTCATCCACCCCACACCCCCTAGTTTCACCAAGTCTCATCAAAACTCTTGCTCGTTTCTTAAATATGACATGTACTGTGGCACCAGGTAAGCCCAGACATTCCATGAAAAGACAGATTCCCTCTGCCTTCTTTCCACAGCCACCCAGGCAGCAGAGGTGCCAAGCTTTAAACACCAGGATGTTTACGTGCAAACAAGTCCACTACAAAGCACACCGCCCTTTAAGAATTCTGACAAGCAATCAAAGCTCGGTTCTGACCTTTGGGCATAATTAAAGAGTGCACGGGTATTTTCACAAAATCAGAAATAGTTCCCGGGTAGAGCGCATCATCCCGTCTTTGTGGGTTTGTGTGGTCTCCCACACCCGGGTGAGTGTTTATTCACACAGAAGGCCATAATTATCAGGTGTGCAGGGTTAGAGCAGGAGGGGGAATTAAGACTTCTTTCCAGTAAGAATTTCTGCAGGCAAAGATGCAAGTTACACACACCCCCTTCACCTCCACTTCCTTCCCTGTGGAAGCAGAGCTAGCTAGCTACATCTGTGCAGGATGGCTTCCTTTCCCAAGGGAGGAGTGGAAGGTTCTTTTCCATCTCCCGAAATAGCACGGCTCACACATGCACAGCTCACAGAACACGGCCATTTGCATTTGGTACCCGCCCCCCACCTTCAAGGCTCCTTCAAGGCAAGGAGGGTTTCCAGCTTTCCTTTGGAGGAAGGGAAGAGGGGGAGAATTGAAGTGGGACGGTTTCTGGAAGCCTGTGTTTACAGAAAGACCAAACTGAGTCGATGGAAGCTCGCCTGTCTGGCCTTTTAAGAAGGGAGCAGTGGGAACACTTGACCCAGGACCAGGTCCTTTAGCACCCACTTTAACCTGAAGCAGCTTTTGAAAAGCTTCTGCTTGCAGGAGGCAGAAAGCAGGAGCAAGGTGGCCAAGGGCTGGGGGAGGAGGCAACACGGAGGGCAGCTCAGTGGACACAGTTTCAGTCCTGCAGGATGAGGACGTTCTAGAAGTCTGCTGGACAACAATGCACACAGTGCATCATGCTGGACACCTGGACACGTGTGCAGAGGGCAGATCGTATGAGTGATTTTTAACACGATTTTTAAAAAATCTGCTCCAAGAAAGTGCTGTTAAGGGAAATACACAAGACACTAAAAACGGCTGCCTCTGTCCCAATGCTGTATCTACTGAAGGCAAAATGAAGACAAGGAGAAGACCCAGCCCTGGGCCCATTTTATAAAATATCGGGCTGGAGGCAGAGGTGTGAAACTCAGTGGCAGAGCCGGCACTTAGTAGGCACGAGGCCCTGGGGTCACCCCCAATCGCCCCTGCTCCAAATTAGGATATTAAAAACAATTGAATTAGGATATTAAAAATCAATAAATGCCAGGTGTGTGGATCACACCTGAATTAGTCATTTCTCAACAAAAAGTCCAGAATAGCCCTGAATGAGCGAATCCAGCATGCAAGCCACACAGAATATGATCTGGCTCTGAAACCATCTTATTTTATACATGGAAAGTACAGAAAGGCAGGACTCCACGGTGATACCATGTGGGCGAGTAAGAGGTGCATGTTGTTAAGATAAATAAATGATCAAAACAATTCAGATTATAGGAGCATCAACAAGCCAAATTTCCGTGAGACCGATTCTCATAATCCTTACTGTAGTCACGATGAGACACAGAAAGGGCCATCTCCCATTTGTCTCCCCCACATCTTTCTGGAGAGTCCTAGAGGGACGGATGGCCAAGCAGGGACACATGAACCTGCAGCACCCCAAGGCCGGCCAGCAGCCCCTCCTCACCTGCCTGTCCCTGAGCTGGCCAGACCCAGCAAACCACCCTGCTCCTCAGTGTCCCAGGGAAGCCAAAGAGCGCTTGGAAGGAGCCTTTTCTCAGCACCAAAGGGACGCGGGCCTTCCTCCCACCGGGGTGTCACCCAGGCGGAAACCCGGGAGGAAGTTTTCCAATCACCTCCCTACCAGCGGGAGATCCGGCTCCTGCGGAACAGAATCTTATCAGGACACAGCTAAGAACTAGCAGAAACTGTCACTCCCTCCCCTCCCTCCACCAGGGTGGCTGTCCCAAGTCTGGATGAGCACATGGAGATCCTGCCTATGCAACTCCCCGCTCTACCTCGCTCCCTCCCGTGTGCCTGTATCATTCCCTTTGGGGACCCCAGGGAGCGTCCTGCTTCCTTTCCAATATCCGCCTCCGCCATCGGTTTGAGGTTTACGACACTTACTGAGGTTGACAACAGCCTTATGTCACCTGCCATGGAGTCACCTCTTCCCACTCTTCAGGAATGCGCTTCTGGGTTTTGTGGGGTAGGGGGTATATTCTCAGAGTCCTATGGCCACTCTCATTCCAGAACATTTTCCAAAAACCCCCGGGCCCTCGGCAGTCACTCCACACTGCCCACCCCGGCAACTGCTCATCTCTCCGTCTCCTGGGATTTGCCTGTTGGCACCTCTCCTTTGTTGAGCGGCCTCCCCACAGAACCCACATGCTCAAGTCCAAAGCCTAGGAGTGAGGGGGGTGGGCGTGTGTGGAGATGGGTCTTC